CCTGGAAGAAAGAAACCTAGTGCATGTAATATAATAAGATTGTTTTTTGATAGTGGATTAAAAAATGTACTATCTTCTTTGTAGTTTAATTTTAAATGTAGTTATAAATGAATTTATTGCTGAGATGGTTTGTTCAGTGTGTGAAGTGTGTGAAATGGTAAGACAGGTGTTTGTTTCATTCAATTTTACAAGCAGTTTTACATATATAAGGTGTGAATCCTCTTAATTTCTTCCATATCTGACACCAGTTTCTGTTCACTATTTTTTGTAGTCCCCACCTTCTGTGCCAAATTTGTCATTGTATGACAGTTTGAATACTCTGGGATCCTTGCGACTGGGGAAGTATACAGCGGTAATTACCCTTTCTATGGTCATTTCGATTAGATGTTACATGACATCTTATGAATATACAAACGTTCTCCTGCAGTGGTTTAATGACGTACATTCGACTGATATCTCTGATACGTGTGAGGATGTTCTTAGTCTTCTATTGAAAACCCATGGTTGTGAAGTAAGTCATCATCATTGTCATGTACTTTGTATCTTTTTGAAACTCATTCTTGTTTCTTAAGTTGAGGAATAACTTCTTGGATGTTAGCTGAGACTCTGCATGTCCATTTATCATAGATGGTGGAGATTGTTGTACCTGAGCTCCATGAAATGCGTACTGCTCATCTCATTTCAATTGGATCTGAGTTTCTCAATGCACTGAATCCATATTGTGAGGAAGGGTATGTTTCTTTTGGGTTATCTATACTGGCAGGGGGAGGAATATACTTTTAAGTGGGGGGGTTTCGGCAAACTTATATAACATAAAAGTGAAAGTAAACGTAGACATAATATACACAAAAACTTCAATATCTTGAGAATATTTTCTATATTATGTGTATAATTGTCTGTTGTTTCAAACTTTTGAAGTGTCCCAGAATAACTTGAATACTTTAATCTTTAAATGTCTTCAATTTCCTTCAGTATTAAAAAGCCGCTACCAAGCACGTATAAAGGACTATAATTTTTGAATTGATCGGGTATCTACATCGGAAGTTTCTTTTTGAATGAACTTGAGTAACGTGAATAAATTATGTTTTTTTTTTAAAGCATGCAGAGTACGAGATCACTTGAAAAGTTAGATCTATTACAAAAGAAGCAACTCAAGTGTAATTCAAAAAATAATTATTTAGCATTTGAAGTTAATAGAAAAAGATTATGTAAAATGGGAAAATGTATAGACATACACTTAAATAAAGGGGCAAAAGACATGCGTGATAAAGTTCAGAAAAAAAAAAACAATTTTATTATTGAAAAAACAAAACCAGAGACTTTATTTATAGAAAAGTCAAGAATTGGTGGGAGGTTAACATATGAAAGAATGATCCTATTTCTTTCGGTTTTTATTTATATCTGATGTTATTTTATTGATTTTTTCTTACTCTTATGTCTGTAGATATGGTGCAAAATTGTCATATGACTCACGCACTAATGTGGCTCTTTTCCGATCATTTTCTGCGTCAGATTATATTGCTGCCCAATGTCTTAGGTGAGGCAAAATAATTACCAGAAAACAATTATATGGCTGAAATCTTTAATACCTTTTGGGATGTTTGGTAATATCATACATTTATTTAAGTTCATTGTTGTAGTGCAAGCTTCTAGGAACCATACAAGCATCCTATATCAATTGAAAACTGACTAAAGCGACTAAACATTTTTATGATATTTCGTTAGGATTCTTTTTATTCCTGAGGAATTGGAATCGTTTTTTCTTTATAGGGACATTTTAGGTTCTGAAGCTTGTCAATATTAGTTTCTGTCATGCTCCAAATCCCAATTTCAAGTTTTACAGTAATATTTATTTGGAGGATTCTCAAAACAATGTTCCAGTGCCTATTAAACTGTCGTTAGTTTCCAATTCTTTGTAACCTGAAATTTGGCACATAGATTGTGATCATTGTTAAAAGAAGTGATTCATGGATCATTACTTTCAAATTTGTCTCTGATCATTTAACCAGGCATCTGTAGAAGCTCAAAAATAACTTTTTTCTCATATTGAAGTTGAATTTGTATCACCTATCCATAGTGGGACCCAGTTGTTTCATCTGACTCTGCTGATTGGTCTTCTTTCCCACTTCTTTCGGTAAGGTTTTTTGCGACATAAATGGACTTGAGGTGGCCAACTTCCAGGCTTCCAGTAACACCTGCTCTTTAGCTTGTAAATCCCCACTTGGCTATAACATGCCTCTAAATGTGAATTCTGTTACATTTTAATGTTCTTTCCATAGTGAATTGCATTGCATTTAGAAATACTTGGTTTATCTCATTTGGAATGGCATGGTATGCAAATGTTTCAAAGATCTCTGAAAATATACAGTAACTTCTTATGGGTTATGACAGGGTCACCTAATTTGTTTCAGGAGAAGGATTATGTACCATCATATGGAGATCTTCAAGAAGGTTGATGTCATAGTGACCCCCACAACAGGGTATGTAAAGCCTAACTGATTACTGAAGTAATGGGTGTGCACCTGTCCGCTCCTTATTCGTATTCTTATAATTATATATAAAGCTAAACTAGATGGTGTTACATTCCAAGTTCCGAAAATGTTTCTCTTGTTTATTTATAGGAACATTGATGAGCAAGACCTTTTATTTATGTATTATATGTACTGCGAATTTTTCTTGTTGTTGAATACAGTCATCGTGACATGTTATTTCCATTTCCTGGGCCTCTTTCGTTTACTTTTTTTAGATGTACGTTTTCAGAGTTATTGAAACAGATAAAGTTAAAAAAAAAACACGAAATACCAAACAAGTTTATAAAATTCTCTGGGAAAATTTTACAATGCCACTTTCAATTTGGGAAACATCTTCTGTTGAACACTCTGCAAAACAGGTCTTAGTTATATTTTTGTGTGTTTGAAGATAGATGTCATCACTAGTCAGTGGTCTTATACTCATTTTCCACCTCTATAAGTAGCGCTGTTTTTTTTAATTTTCTTTCTTTTTTTCAAGTGTGGGTACCTTTGTCATGAATGACCACAATTTAAATCATGCATTTTTTTCTTTGGTAGAAACTCAGAATTTAACTGATATGCACACTTTTTCCTTTCTCTAATTATTTTGTGCAAAACAGCATGACAGCACCTATAATTCCACCAGCTGCTCTTAAAGATGGGGAGACAGACATGCGGGTCACAGGTCAGCTGTTCTACAATCTGAATTGAAGCTTGAGAAGATAATTATTTTTGTTTTTTAATTTCTCTCTCTGGAAAATTTTATAGCAATCTCCTGATGCATGTCAAAATCATTGAATTTAAAGTGGTTGGTAGCCACACTGATAAGTTAGTATTACTTCATTGTCGTTGGAAGAATTTGAAATGTGGTATTCTTGAAGTTTTTATCTCACACTCAAAAGTCACTAGTGAACGAGAAAAAAAAATGTAATTCACTTTTTGCAATCTTTCAAACTTGCATTGATGCATGGCTTCCTTGGTTTCAGGTGATCTCATGCGGTTTGTCATTGCGGGAAATCTTCTTGGACTTCCTGCTATTTCTGTACCAGTGAGTAACTTTCTTTTTTCTTGGATTCATAATTTGGTTATGGTTACTCTGGTAGAACAATTGTGCACTATATCCTGTTGTGCTTTTTTTCGACAAGTTATTCAAAGTACTCTAATGCTTGCATCAGAGACAATACTTCTTAAAACCTCCAGTTTTGAGGCCATCTAATACTAACTTCATGGAATGGAAGCCATACTTTTGCAAGTAATTATACATTTGAAGTATTAATTTGAATTATCGAAGATTTTACCAACAACAACCACAAGGGCAGATTTCTTTTAGCTGTAACTCAAGGGACCTTTTTGTTTTTGAGTTTTTTTCGGCGACGTTCTACTCTTCTGTACTTGATTCTGTCATGTTGTTATTCTCAAGCCTTCACCTATATAGGTCAAAGGCGAAGCAAGATATTTCAAATGTTATTACGACCTTCCTCATGTCAACTGTTTTTTTTTTTCCTCTCTTTTTGGCTGACTTTCTACTTTTCTGTACTTGTTTACCATGTGCAGGTTGGCTACGACAAGCAAGGGCTTCCAATCGGTTTGCAACTGGTTGGCCGCCCATGGGGTGAATCTTCAATTTTGCGTTTGGCTTCTGCAATAGAGGTATCAACTTTTCAACTTTCAGTGAATGAAGAACAATTATACGATAGAGGTTCAAGTGTTTGGGCACTCCGCAAACCCGATGGTAGAAGTAAACAACAGTTTGAAACTAAAGCATTCTTGTGATGTTTTTCAGGAACTCTGTGCCAAGTCTAAGAAGAGGCCTGTACAATATTTTGATGTTCTAAAGTCTTAACTGAACAGCTGCTCGTGCTGGCTGGATTCGCGTTTGGAAGACTATAAATTTATCGATATCCTATAATAATCGCTCCACAGCATTTTCGTTCAACATGATCCATTGCCAAACGTTATTTTAGTTTTAGTTTCTGTTGGTCCGCCGTTGCAGTGTGCAATAACGCCGCCAGCGCCTTCATCGGCCGCATCATTGAGCACTACAATCTCTCACTCAAATTGTCTTATCAAATGCCTCAACTCTTTTGTATGCCATTTGTCATGACCTATGAGCATGCTTGTAAGTTTTATCACTGAGGATGGAGAATTGCAAGCTGATTGGTGGATGATTGGGGTTTAAACAAAATTGATCCTGTATTTCCTTGAACCTACATAATTAACGACATTGGTTTTCAGCCTTTGCTCTTATTGCTCGAAAGTCGAAAATCAAACCTAGAATCTAACCTCCGTACTATCTAATTCTCTGTCGATTCGCCAAGCTCCCGACTACAAACTACTAACAGTTTCAGCTGTTTGTTTGCTGGACACCCAGTTCTAACAACGTCTGAAATTGAAACAGGTCATTCACTACTGTCGACTGTTAAGCAACGAGGACGAAAAACGCAAACAAAGAGGACTTGCCAAGTATGCCTGTGGGAGGGGACCAAAACATTGCAACCAGAATTACTCTTTTGTCTATAAAAGTGAGCAAATGCTGATAGTTCAAGGACTAAAACGCCGATACGCGACCACAGGACACTGCTGTTTGTACTTGAAATAACCATTTACCATCATCAACAATACAGGTCTCATACAATGCAACCCTGTGCTCTGATATTTTTCATGGACAAACCAGACACTACCATTTTATGCAAGCACGATGTCCGAATTTGTCCACCACTTCTAGCATCTTCCTTTCTTTAGTGCAATTTACACTTGAGTTCGGACCTTTTCTTTCCCACGGTACTTCTCATCAGCAACATCACTAGGGAGATCCGGCCCCAATGGAATCTTTCCTGGATAATCAGTTGTTGATGAATCGGACCCTGCCATACTGGAGAACGAACAGAAATCGTAAGAATCCTAATCAAACAGAAGGAATCCCTTTCATAACTAACGAAAAATCACTCACCTTCTGTCAACAATGACCATGGAGCGAAGCTCGCAATTTGAAAAGCTGCAATGACATAAAAGAAAAAGAGTGTTAGCCTGATAACTCGGAAAATCAATGCCTAACAAGTTTGTTAGCTTTAGTACTATTGAAACATCTACTAAGCTTGTGATCCTTGTATAGAGTGCACTTACTGTTTGGACATTTCTTTTTTCATCGAAGGATGACAGTCATTTCCTAGTGCGTTTAGCGTGTGAGACAAGAACCCGTTATGAGTAACAATCGCTATTTCTTTCTCTTTCCTTGTCCACAACCTGTGAAGTGACAAGGAGGCACCAAACCGGTATAAGTTTGATCATACAAGAAAACGAGCAATAAAAAAGTATCGATCTTATGGAGGATGAGAGCATCAAAAGGGCTGATAAGCTTAAAAACTCGAAAGTTTATGAAACAACAATAGATAGCAACACCAACGGAGCATGTGCTCCATAAGATAGCTTCTTGCTTCTGATGGTTACAAGATAAGCTACCAGTTCATGAATTTCAATCCCCTAGCTGCAACTTCCTCTGTCGTCTCCCTCACATCGGCCTTCCACAATATATCCTCATCAGTTTCTATCTGTAAAAACTAAAGATATTAGCATATAACAATAAAAAAATTGAAAAAAAATTGTATAACAATCCAAATGTACAGCCACCAAAAGATGAAAAGCACCATAAAGTAACTTAAAAATACTAATTCCTCCCCCAGTAATTGTTAGCTATCCAACTACTTGCCAGCGAAAAATCAACCGCAGGAAATAGAAACTGATAGTCGCTGATGTTCCTCCTGTTATCACAGGGATGAACGCCCTGCAACCAGAAATTTACAACATAAAATTTAAAGCCCAGAGCATCAAATCAATAAAACATCAAGACTACGCACCAACGCTACTAAGGACCAAGTTCACGATGAGTTCTAACAATTTCTTATTTAACATACAAAAATAAACAAAGAGGTTTTTTTGACATCTCTTCTGATCAATTTGATCAGAAAATTCTGACATTATAAAATACATGGCAAAGACAAGCCAAGTTAAGCGACGCTACACCACAACAATGTAACTATCAAGGGACAAATCAAATAACCAAACTTGCCTAAGAAAACTTAGCTTTCTTCCATAGATATTGAAGATAGCCACTAGGTTAATAATGTTCAACAATTGAGGTTAAACTTGACCACATTAAGTTGCATACGATTCACACACGTCCAGTTCAAATAAAAAATAAAATCAAAGAAGTCAAAATAATTTGGTTCTTAGCTGACATACCAAATGTTCTCGACAAAGCTCTACCGCAATGATTGGTGGGCAGTTGAGATTTGAAATCGATGGGCGTTCACTATTTCCTGCATTTGCCACCATTAGAGGTGGTACGTCCGTTCTATCCTTGTAACCCTCACCTCCAAATACTCCGACAGCCGTTTGCAGAGTCCTAGTCAGTCAAACCAACTTTAATTACAGCTTAACAGAATCTAAAAATGGAAATGTTTCTCCAGGGAGGAAGAATCTTCAAGAACAGATTAAGCAAGTTCATCAATTGTAAATTGGCTATTGCATTAACAACGAAATTTCCAGAAAAACTAAGCTTAATTACAAAGAAACAAGTGTAATATACTTCTTTTCTTTTCAGTATCTTGGAATAAGAAGATAATTTAAGATTTGGCTCACATCCTATCATCTCTTCAACATAAAATAACAAAGAAAAGGTTCCGTTTGCGTAACCTCTACAACTCTAAGTACTAGTTATCATGTACTCTGTGAATTCCGAATCATAAATAAAACAAGTTATTTTCGTCTCTGTCATCTTGTAACTAGAACTCTGGGAGTTGCCGTCACTGACTACCAGTGTCTATTCATGTCAGAAAGATTATAATACCCATGTCCAGGAATCATACACCAAAAATTTCTCTGAAAAGAAATAGATATGTTAAGACAACTCCGAAATTGTTTCTATCTGCTAACCAAAAACCTAATAAACAAAAATCTCTTGACAGAAAATTACAGTTTAATTTCCAAATGACCCCCCAAATTACCATATTTTCAACTCTAAAAACATAGTGTTAAGATCAAGATTCTTGAATACAATTACAACCCAACCTTTTTGTTTTATCTCTCCTCTCAAGCTCCTATATACACACAACTTAGTCCAACTAACCAAATTATGCCTTTACAGTTTTTCAAAAAATTTTCCATGAGAAAGATTCACGAATTGGATCCTTTTCTACCGTTATTTGTTTGTTGTACTCAACCTTTCAAGCGGAAAATATTTCAACAAAACATAGAGAGATTAATAAAAAGCACTACCATGAAAGAAAAAGACAGAGAGGTAGGCTAGATTCGGGAATTATGGCATAATTACCTTAGCAAAGGAGATGTAATGACTAACTCAATCCTCTTGGAAAGCCCACATTCATGAACATGCTTACGCAAATTATCAACCTGCCACCGCAGTAAGAGAACAATTCATAAATTATCTTTGATGACAATGTCTTTACTTGTAGAAGGAAAATATTCATTACAGGCTTTGTAGTTCTCAAAGTTTTCGTAACATAGTATCTGTATAAGAAAAAGTTGTTGATTTTCTTCCCACCTGCTGCCAGCCTAGTGGAGTAAGGCGTGCATCAAAATATTCAGGTTTCATGTATGCTTTGTAGTTCTTAGCTCCCTCTACATTGTGGATTCCTTGTCCATGCCTCACCTGGATGAATGGATTTGTAAAATCATGTTTTGCGAGAAAAAAGACAAGAACGAAGACAATATTGAATGTCCCTCAAACCAAAGAAAACCACAACAAACCGTATGCAAATCCAAAATCAAAGTCGGTACCAACCAGGTGAAGAGTTTTGCATCGGTGCAGCGGAAACAAACTTGGACCAGAACCATTGTCCATAGCTGCTGCTTAACCAGTAAAAGTTACTTTAACATTAGAACAGAATGACAGTACAATCAAAATAAGGACTTCAAGCCAGTATTTGGTGAAAATTATAGATATAAGTATATAGCCGCAGTTAAAGAATTTGAAGCTTGGCAATGATGAAAATAGCATGTTAAAGAATAGATTCATGTGCATCAGTACCTCAGGCCATGAGAAGTCCAACCACAAAGTTAATAGATCTTACAATCAGCCATTACTACAGTACAAATTTTAGTAACACGGCTTGTTACTGTTTCAAAATCATGACCTGTTGCAGAACCCAAATCTCCCAGAACTATCTCTTTTCATATTCATCCATTTTATATAGTGAAGACTTCGGGGAAAAAATTGTAGTTACTAGGATGCATTCATGACTTGACATATTCTTCCTAGGAGTAAATGACCTACAACAGAAGCCTGTCACAGTACAAGTAGAGTCTATGGAAGCGAAGTGCTATACAACAGTGTATTGTCAAGAATCAGGTATTAGCACCAACCAAAGTGCATTTTATCAGATATCATGATTTATGAACAAGTTCTGTACATTTTCAACCATTGGGTGATATCACCATCCAAAGCGCAAATCATAAACTATCATCGACAACTCAATCCACTGACATACGCAGATGTTTATGCGAAAAACTTTGAAACTGTAATTTTGTCTGCCTCTATAGTGATTGGGTTAAAAATAATTGAACATAAAACAAATGAGAATGGACCTCTGGAACCAATAGCAATCCGTGTCCCTCAGTTGCATAAACAATCGTGAGCACTGGATTTCAACCAGAAAAAGAAAAAAAGAAAGCAAATTTAAGAGTTTAACCCAGTTACTTAAAAACAAAAAAGTGATCAGCATTCCCCAACGAGATGATCCAAAACCAAAATCATTCATGCAGTTTGATTGGAGCATTATAATACATAAAATGATAACACACTTGATGAGGTAATTCTAATAAAGCCAGGATCTTACCATCCAAATTCACAAATCAAAGATACCAAACGATCATCTAAGATGCTATTATCCAAATCATATTATATATCCAAAAATGCAGGAAGTAAGAAATCTGAGATATTAAAACAAACCCATGTTGAAGAATTCACCAAAAATAAACTGCAAGTTAAGGAATTGGAAATATAAACAAAGAATATGAGCATAGTTTGGAGATGGAAGAGTTTACCAGGGCAGGGACAGACACAGAATATACGCTAACTGCAAAAGGATGGTGATATCTGGGCGGTGGGGGAAGAGAGGAATGTTAAAGAGGAGGAGCCGTGATGGTGATATCTCTATATCTCTACTCCAAGTGAGAGACTGACTGACTGACTGACTGTCTGGACCTCCCAATTTTTTGCTTTGACTTTTACGCATGTTTTCATCTCTCGTGTAGATTGTGTGGACCATAAAACTGGAGTCTATTGTTTTTTTTTTTTTTTTTTTTTTTTTTTTTTGGTATTTACGATGAGGCTTTCCAAAACACAAAATTATTCTTAATTGCTTCATAAATCTTAAATTGGTCATTGCAGCTCTTGAAATTCAAATTTAGTCTCACCTTGCCTCATACCATTTACGTTCGTAAACAAATCAAGATTGTAAACATGGCATGAGGGAGACCCATTTATGTTGTAGTTTTTAAATTTTTATCAAACATTCTTCAACTAATTATCGATGAAAAACTATGACTTTTCATTTCAATTTGCCAATTAATCACAAATTAATATCACAAAACTCCTAAAATCTAGTAGATGTCTTATCATATAACATTTCTAAAAGAAATTCTCTCTCAAATAAAAGTCGTTTGAAATTCTAAAACCACAACAAACGCTATTAACATATAATCATGAAACATGATATATGCATGCACATATACATTAAATATAACATTATTGGTGCGTTATGTATCTTAACTTGGGTTCGTATTAGTATTTTAGTACACTAAAAGACAAATTGTGGTACGTTATATATATTTTTTTTTTTGGTATATATCAAGCTACTTGTGTGTTTTTTATCCTAATTTTGATATGTACAAAGCTAATAGTACGGATGTGTAACCCTAAGATAGGATATAACTTATTCATATATAAAGAAGTGTTCTATTTTTCTACATTTAAGATAGTCTATTGAGACGCCTCTGCCCAAAGGTGCTCTTTTGAAAGCCGATCTCTATGGCAAGAACCTTTCCACACACAGGAGCCTTCAACAAAGGCCACTTGAGAAGCCTTGTTGTTGTTTTTTTTTTTTTTTTTTTTTTTTAACAAACAAGTATTATATACAAGAGGGGGTGAGTTTAGCCTCACAATGAATTAAAATAATGTGGTTCAAACTCGTTTTTGGCGAGAATCAAACCTAATACCTCTCTTACAAATGAAGAGTACTAAATGACTAGAAGCCTTGTTGTTGTATCTTTTTTTTTTTCTTCTTCTTCTCAAAAATAGAAACAGAAGACTAGGGGTGAAAAAAATACCGAATATTCCAATCCGAACCAAAAAAATCCCGAAAGTGAACCTAAAAAATACCAAACTGAAAATCCTAAAAATTTCGGTATCCAATACCGAACCGATCTCACATTTCTTTCTTTCGGTAATCCCGAATTGAACCAAAATGAAAAAAAAATATTATTTAATTTGAAATGTATATTTGGAATTTTAATAGTCGTCGGATTTGGTTGAGATTTAATCTCAACCGTTGAATACAAATCAAACCCTCAGAAACTCAGTCATTCTCTTTCTCTGTCTCTCGACTCGACCTCACTTCACCACCCTCCTCGCCGATTTCTCTCTCCGTCTTCAAATTTGGCCACACCTACATCACATAAGTGACTCACCTCTCTCTCTACTGACTTATCACATCTCTGATCTCTCTCTCTTGACTTCTCATCCCTCAGACCCTCACTGTGGATGAGCCTTCCTTCACGACATAGAGGCAGAGCCACGGCCACCGGCGCCGCTTACCTCTCTGATCTCTCTCTTTCTCTCGACTTCTTCATCCAGATTCTAGTGCACTGTGCACCGATTCTCCCCTAGATCAGGTAAATTTTGAAATTAATTTAAGGTTTGGAATTTAATTTCGGGTTTGAATTCTAGATTAGGGTTTGTGAAATTTAGCACTTGGAACTGATATGGAGGTAGAAGATATGTAATGGCTGAACGATAGTATTAGAAATTTTAGTGTTTCTACCCTCTGAGCATGTTCTTCTCACCAATGGTTTTTGTTTTCATAAGAAATAAAGTAATTTTCATCGGTTTTTTACTCGAACATTTACACTCCATTCTTATTGTCTTTCATTTTGAATTTGTCACAAATTTCCTAGACGTTGGAGCTTATAAATAATTGATTCTACCATTCTTATAGGCCTTAGCTTTAGCAAAGAAAGCGTTGGTGGTTGAACATTCTTCTCAACAGGTTTATGGGGTCTTTAACATTGTCTTTGAGGATTTGGAGGTAAGCATCTTGCATTGCTTTATTAGTAGTGTTATTGTTTTCAACTTTTCATATGTTGGTCTAGAAACAATATGCAATTTCCTAGTCTTCTATGTTATTATGATTGCTTTACCACTAACATGGAAACTGTTTGTACCATACTTAGGGCCTCCGTATTTAGATCTCGTATAAATACTCGGGGGACTCAAATGTAATTATGTAATAAATGAATGGGCAAATATGTAATAAGTGAGGAGCCCTTATTCTATAAAAGGACCCCTCACTCTCCTTATTAAGGGAGGCCATTTCTTAGGCCATGAGAAGAGCTCTCTCACCCTCAGAAGCTTTCACCCTCCCATCCTCTCACAAACAGAGAAATACAATAATCAGTGTGGACGTAGCCCAAACATTGGGGTGAACCACGATACATCTTGTGTTATTTACTTTCTTGCAAATTCACAGTCGGATTTACGTTGTCCCAAGACCCCTCCAGTTTTGTGCATCAACATTTGTCGCCGTCTGTGGGAATCGACACGAAAAGCTATGTCGGTCATCTCTTAATTTTTCATCTCACCACCGTGAGACCATACCACACTCCACCGTGAATCTGCAAAAACCCAAAACCTCCCTCCTTGGGCTTTTCCAGAAAACCCCCACAAACACAAAGCCATCATTCCCTCTTACTTTCTCTCTCTAAAAACTCCAGATTCGGAAAAGCTCTCTCTAAACTAAGCTTTCTTTCTCTAGAATCTGCAGCAATGATAAACAGTATGATGAGGCTCTCTCTCTCTCTCTGCCTATGAACTCACGCTTTTCCCCACAACCCACCAAAACAAAAGAGACAAAAACAGAGAGAGAGAGAGCGCACAGCCCACCGCTAATCCACACGCTGCTTCTTGTCATCGTCTTCTCTACTGTGCTTGGTCTCTGTGAGACGGCAGAGCTCTGCCTGTCCTTGCTTGTTTTCCTCCTTGAAGGTCAGTGTCATGGCAGAGCTAGTGAAGGGCACGAAGCTGTTATCCTTGTCGCCCATTCAAAGTGCAGAGAGGACGGAAGACTCCATCTCTTTCTCCCCTCGCTTTTCTTCTTCCCAGAGCGAACCAGGAGAATCGAAGCACCAAACCTCAACCCTCGGAGAGCGCAACAATGGCAGGATCAGCCATGGTGTTGGATCCGAAGCCTTTGTCGGAGCCACCGGCATCGATCCACCTTCACCCTGAACTGCTGCCTGAGCCGGAGCTGCACCGACAAGGCCTTGCTCTTCCATGGCCACCCACGCAAACATCCGCAACCACAAAGCCACCATCTTCATCCTCTACCAGCTCGCCACCCTCAACGTCTTCACCACATGCCGTTACGCCGTCCCCCACAGGGCCCACGACATCCTCACTCTCCTCCTCCTTGCTAAGATCACGAGCGGCTACCAAAACGCCTGAACCCTTACCGGGTTTCGGAGGGCCGGTTCGCCTACCGCAGCCAAAGTGTATGACTTTTGTCCCCTAAATTCTATGTTTTTTTACAGTGGGTTTAGAGGGATCTTGGGGCCGGTGTTCATGTTCAAGGGGGCGTTCTATGTGAGTGGATTGGCTGACCTCATCATCCCCAGATGGTCATGGGTTTCTTGGATGGTGGTGATTTCAATTGCCATTATGTGGTGGAGCCCACCGCTATGTGGTGGCCTTAAAATCTCGTTCAGGCTTTCCATGGATGAAAATATTTGTGCATCAGATAAAGCCTCCATCGGCTATCTCTTTGACGGTCTCATATGCCGAGCCCAAGAAAGGAAGAAGGACCGAGAAGAACTTATCTGCAACTGAGATGTCAGAATAGTGGTATTTTCTTGTCTGTTGTTTCAAGGTGACCTCGATTTACTTCGAGAGTTTTTCGTACAAGGTCAATTCCTCAACTGGGTTCATCGATTACGACAAGTTGGAGGAAAAGGCCTTTGGTTTCAGGCCAAAATTGATAATTTGCGGTGACAGTGCGTACCCCAAGGACTGAGATTACACAAGGTTTCACGTTGTTGCGGATAAGTGCGGTACCCATTTTGCTCTGCGACATGGCTCACGTTAGCAGCCTTGTTGCTGCTCAGATCTAATCTCCTGCGAATACCACGAGCACTAGTGGAAAACAGGAAGAAGATAAGCTTTCTCAATAACAATCCTATTATTATTCCTCTTGTTCGCCATCTGCAAACTACCATTACAACCAACAAGCGGAAGAGGAAAAGCAACAAAGAAGATGCCCACACTTTCATCATGCATGTTCCCATTTTCTGAGAAAGCAAAAGCAAAGCAGAAAAGAAAAGAGAAAACAAGAAACAGAAACAAAAGCAAAAGCAAAGCAGAAAGCAAAAGAAGATAAAAAGAAGCAGACATAATTACGGTGGTGATGGCATGCAGAAAAGGGAATAAGGGGCGTAACTTATTGAGCAGAGGGTTGGATTTATTTTTGAAAGATGTAATTTATTTTTCTTATCTTTCGGAGACATCTGTATAAACCCCATCAGAGGGTACTAATAAATAAATAAAATGGCAAGCCCAAAATAATGGGCTGGAATGTTGTGTGGAGGGCCAAGGCCCATATGCTCAAAAGAGCCAGGCCCTATGGCTCTAAATTTATTCGGCACCCTGCCGCTATTATCACCAACCAGGTGATCAAAAGTACGCCTCGTACTCCAAAATTATTCGGCAGCCTACCGCTATTATCACCAACCAGGTGATCAAAAGTACGCCCAGTACTCCAAAATTATTCGGCAGCCTGCCGCTATTATCACCCACTAGGTGATCAAAAGTACATCCAGTACTCCAAAATTATACATGAGCATCACTTATGTCAATCATACATAAACATTCATGAGCATCATTCATGACAATCATACATAAACATTCATAACCATCATTCATGTCAACATTCATGAGCATCACTCATGTCAACATTCATGAGCATCACTCATGTCAATAAACATAAACATTCATGAGCATCACTCATGTCAACATTCATGAGCATCACTCATGCCAACATCCATGAGCATCACTTATATCAATCAACATAAACATTCATGAGCATCACTCATGTCAATCAACTTCGAAAGCTTCATTTATAGAGCTTCAGATTCAAAATCTTCATTTACAAAAGCTCCAGCTTCAAAACTTCACTTGCAAAGCTTCACCTACAAAGCTTCTGATAGGAGCATATTTATGCGACTTAGTATGTTTGTTTTCGTGCATTTATGTTCTTAGTTCTTAGTTATGTTAGTAGTTTAAGCCATTTTTGTGTGTTTGTAGGTTCTATGGGCCAATGATGCAAGAAGATGCATTTTGGAGCATTTTGGAGCATTTTTGGGCCAAGATTGGATGGTGCAAACATGGAGACATGAGGATGGACGAATTTGATGATTCAAAGGGCTAGAAATCTGCATGTGTGTGTGCAAAGTGTTGGCCTACAACTTCAAACATCATAGCTGCCATGTGATGGCAGAAAATGTGTTTATTGCTAGCTAAATGGATGAAGAACATGTATGTGCAAGTATAAACACCACATGGGCAGCAAGAAGGAAAGAAAACAGCAACACACACACCACATGGGCAGCAAGGAATCAGAAATTAAAGCATGGAAGAGTGGGAAGTGATGAGGACAACACAAACACACACACACATGCACACTCACGGCAAGAAGAATGGAATCAGCAAAGGGGAGTGAATGGACAGCAAAAAAAACAAAGAAATTGGACCACTATGAAGTGGATTTCTTGTTGGTCTCCCACTTATAGCTTTGGGTGGCTTTGGCATGATTATTTCTAGGTGGAAAGAGCACAAAGACAGCTCACACACATGCAAAACAAAGCTGGCAGCATCCTTCCCTTCCCTTGCCGTGAGATTCTTGTGTCCATTACCTTGCAATTCTTTTCATTTCCAACCTCTATATAAGCACCATTCAGCCTTCAAGGAAGACACACAGAAATTCATACACATTTCCATTAGTTCCAAGGCTTGCAAAGAAGGAGGAGTGCTTAGAGTTGTGCTAGCCATTCCATTGGAGTTGTTGGAGCATTCTAGGTGTATTCTACTTTGTTTCTCTATGTTTAATATCAATTGTTTTTGTTTAATTGCAAGTATGAGGAACTAAACCCTTACTTAGCTAGGGGGAAGTTCGAAGCCATGAACATGCTTGAGATATGAATTGATTTCTTCCAATTGTGATTTAATAAGTTGTGAATGCAATTCAATTAACTACTTTCTTCAAAACTAATTCTTGTATGTTGATTAAGGATGCATACTTAGTTTTCATGCATGAATTTGATGCTAGGATATAAATGAGTTTCACCTAATCGTTACAAGTTTATATTCATTGGTAGTGAAGGTTGCTAGTCACAATCGCGTTAATTGAATTCTTGGCAAACGTATCATGCATTCATAGTTACGAATGCCTCGTTAACACTTATGATTTTCATAGAACGTAATGATCTTTGATTGTATCTCTATTATGCATTCATGTAGAGGACTTTTGGAGAATACTTTGGATTGTCGTATGCATTCATCCAATTCAATAAATCAAGGAAAATCTGAGGATTAATTAGTGCATCACGGTTAATCTGGGGTGTTGAGTTTCATAATCTATTGAAAAACAATTGGAAATCGATTCATGTACAAGTGTGTCATGTGTGAAGAATGGATCTCTAGCTAATCCATCAACCGTATATTTAGTTTTACTTTTTGTTGTTATCTCAATCACAACCAAAACCAATACCCCCCATTTACTTTCTTGTATCAAAGTGTGTTTAAGTTTGTTTTGAACTCTTTGAGTCTAGTTTAGTGTTTTAAAGCCTACTTTTGTGTTTTTAAGTTTCTTCTTATATTTTTGAGTCAAGTGAGAGGTTATTAGCAAGCCCTCCTAATCCCCGGTCCAGAACGATCCCTACTTATACATATACTACAATTGTCAACAAGAGGGTTTAATTTGTGTGCTTAACTTTATTTCGCATCAGCTTCAATGCAGGGTATACAAATACCACCTCCGAACAACCGTCACTTCGACCCATACATGGATTCAATTTGAAGTCTCCAGCCAACAGACCCTATTAACTGAAGACTTGGGGGATTACATTATGTACCATATATTGGGCCTCAGTTGGGCCTTATGAAAAATACTTGGGGGACTTAGCCTATCACTTATGTATTGAGGAACGAGCCCTTATTCTATAAAAGGGACTCCATCACTTTCATTAGAGAGCACCCATTATTCATGTACTGAGGAGCGAGCTCTTATTCTATAAAATGGACTCCCTCACCATCATTAGAGAGCATCGTCACCAGCTGAGCAACCGCTTCGCTGTGAGCATCAACTTTAGCCCATTATTCATGTACTGATGAGCGATCCCTTATTCTATAAAAATGACTCCCTCACCATCATTAGAGAGCATCGCCGCCAGCTGAGCAACCGTCTCGCCGCGAGCATCAACTCTAGCCCATCATTTATGTATTGAGGAGCGAGTCCTTATTCTATAAAAGGGACTCTTTCACCATCATTAGAGAGCATCGCCGCCTGCTGAGCAACCGTCTCAACGCAAGCATCAACTCTTAGCCCATCACTTATGTATTGAGGAGCGAGCCTTTATTCTATAAAAGGGACTCCCTCACCTTCAACGCCACAAGCCAAGCCAACCAAAGCAACATAAGCCACAAACCGAGCAGCCTCGCAACATGTGCTACTTTTAGTTGAGTATGATTTCAGATTGAGCACCGCCTCATATCGAGCATCAGTTCAAGATAACATCTAGTTACTTCGGCCCAAACATGGACTGAATTTCAAGTCTCCAGCCAAAAGACTCTCTTGACTGAAGACTTGGGGGACTACTGTTTGTACCATACTTAGGGCCTCCGTATTTAGATCTCGTATAAATACTCGAGGGACTCAAATGTAATTATGTAATAAAAGAATGGGCAAATATGTAATAAGCGAGAAGCCCTTATTCTATAAAATGACCTATCACTCTTCTCATTAAGGGAGACCATTTCTTAGGCCATGGGAAGAGCTCTCTCACCCTCAGAAGCTCTCACCCTCTCATCCTCTCACAAACAGAGAACTATAATAATCAGTGTGGACGTAGCCCAAACATTGGGATGAACCACGATACATCTTGTGTTATTTACTTTCTTGCAGATTCACGGTCGGATTTACGTTGTCCCAAGACCCCTCCGGTTTTGTGCATCAACAGAAACAATATGCAATTTCCAAGACTTCTATGTTATTATGATTGCTCTGCCACTAACATGATGAGTCTTTTTAAGAACATTATCATGCACTAATCTTTGATTTAGTGAGTGGAAATCATAATGGTTCATTTACCTTGATTTATGGTTGCTCTTAATCTTTGTAATGGACTTGAGATATAATATTTTTGTTTCTGGTGGATTCCTCCTCCATTGCTAGATGCATCTTATTCATTTTGTGTTGAATGAAAAAGTTTGATTCTTTTCAAAACCTTCAAGATTTTGAACTTGGTAGCATTGTTTAAGCGCTTAATCAACCCTTGTTAATGTTGATGGAAATTGGAAACATAATGATCTATTATGGAAGCATTCTTTTACTAAACTATCTGACACATAAAAATGCTCTATTCTCACAATCACAACTTTTGTTTTCTTAATAGACTGTATGGCAACATAAGCATTTTACGTTAAGAAACTATATAAGAATCAAAACTATTGACGAAGTTAAGTCTTATCTGAATGTGTACTACAACTTCAATAGGGCAACATATAAATTTGACAAAAACACAATACACATGATCAAGTTTGCTACATAAACAAAAGACACGATAAAATTAGCTTGACGTCGATTGGGAAATGATTGCACATATTGGTATATATGAAGTTAAAGGCTCAAAATAAATTGCATTGGTGGCTCAAAATAGATTGCAAAAACGCACATGACATATTTGTATGTATGACAGATTGGTATTAACGAAATTGGGTTGACAATAAATTTTAGCCCAAATGCCCAATATGTCAAGTTTCAGCCTAATAGCCCAAAAACCTAAAACTATTTCAGAATTCCCAATTTGTCCTGAAATTCCGAAACTATTTTGGGATTCCCTAAATTTGGGATTCCTCAAATTTGGTTTGGGATCGGTCTTGAAATTGGAATTTTTGAAAACTTTGGTTTGAGAATCGGGACATGGTTTTTGGTTCGGTATCTCATACCGAACCAGCCTTATAGAAGACATATGTTTGTCCATAATGGCACCAAGCTCCTCTCTCCCCTCTTCCCATGGCTCATTCTACTAACCCTCTTCCTCATTTTCCTCTACTCCTATTCCTTCCCTTCCACACACCCTCTCTACCAACCTCTCTCTCCAAAAGAATCCCCACTTTCCCCTTCTGCAATTTCTTCAAAGGCCACTAGATCCACAACCCCAACCGCAAACCCATGTATGATGAGACCTGCATGGGAAATGCCTAAGGAACAAGAGGGACAACATAGGAATCATCAACTCTTGGAAATGGGTCCCTTAAGATTGCGTTTTGCATCAGATCAACCCAGCTTGGTTTCTGGGTCGGATGAGGAACATGATAAACCTAGTTCGGATAAATCTCCAAACCCTAACGACCAGTCCACGTCAGCACCATCAAACCGTCCCGCTGCAATCTGCAACCGAAAGGATTCCACCAGCTGTACAACCTGGACAAAAGGAATGTTGCACATGGATACAACATTCCTTGACAGCTAGGTTACCACATGGTTTCTGCACCTATGTTCTAGTTGCTGCATCATGGGCAGCAAGGACACCACTTGTATTGGATTTGTTTATTGCATGCGTGTATGTAACAGTGTATATAAATATAAACTCTGCTGTCCATTGCAGTAAGTTGTGATAACAAAACAATTTTGAATACCAAGTTTATTATGGTATCAGAGCATTGGAAGCTCTTCTTCTTGGTGCAGAGAGACGTCAAAAGCTTCATACTGTGTTTGAAAATGGGCTCACTGCCCTTGCTGCTGGAAGAGGTCGTTCAGGACATTCCCGTGGTCGCGGTGCTCCTCGCGGAGGCCGTGGTCATTTCAATGGTGGCCGTGGCCAGTTTCCTCCTCGTCCTCAAGGCCAGGAACACCATGCTCCTCCACCCCGACAACCTCATGATGGCGTTTTTGGTGCTCCTCCTTCTCCAACCCAATCTGGTGGCCGTATCCAATGCCAAATATGTCGTCGTCATGGCCATTCTGCAATCGATTGTTTCAATCGCCTCAATATGGCCTATGAAGAACGTGTTCCTGCTCCACATCTCCAAGCTTATGCTGCTGCTGCACCATCTCCGGCATCTGCCTCTCCCTCTGGCACCCAAAACTGGCTTTTTGACTCTGGAGCCAATGCACATATCACCAATGATTTGAATCAAGTTTCAAATCCTCGTCCCTACAATGGCACTGACAATGTTAATGGCGTGGTGGATGGATTAGGTTTGCACATTTCTCATGTTGGCACTTCTTTTATTCACACACCCCATCACTCATTTACCCTTCCCAACACCCTTCACTGCCCTAATGCTTCTACTAATGTTATTTCCATCAATCAATTTACCAAAGACAACCATTGTTCACTGACCTTATATCCCAATTCCTACCGTGGTCAGGACCTCCAAACGAGGAAGATGCTTTTGCAAGGCCGGAGTAAAAATGGTTTTTATCCATTTTCCAGTTCTTCTGTGGTCAACCATGGAGTCTCTGCATTTGTCGGTGTTAGAGTGTCGGATGCTATTTGGCATTCTAGGTTAGGTCACCCTGCAATTTCTGTTTTGCGTAGTCTAATTTCCCAAAATAAATTACTTTTAACTGGTAATGCAACCTACGACTTTTGTTCATCTTGTCCCCTTAGCAAAAGTCATAAGTTGCCATTTAATTTATCTTCTTCCTAGTCATCGTTTCCTTTGGAATTAATACATTCAGATGTATGGATTTCTCCTTCTTATTCAATTAATGGTTACAAGTATTATGTAGTTTTTTGTGGATGACTTTTCACCTATTTTGATGGCTCAACAATCATTTATCTTCTCATCTATGTGGATGACATTTTAATCACAGGGAACAATAATGCTCACTTGTCTCAGTTTATCACGCAGCTTGGTACTCATTTTGCAATGAAAGATCTTGGGCCCTTACACTACTTCTTGGGGATAGAGGTTTCCCGGACGCCTTCTGCTTTCTATCTCACTCAATCCAAGTATATTTTGGAGCTTCTACAGAAAACTAATATGGCTGACGCCAAGCCCATCTCAACGCCAGTTCCCAGTGGTAAACGCTTGAGTTTATATGATGGTGAGCCTCTCTTAGATGGATCTTCTTTTCGCAGTGTTGTGGGCGCCCTTCAATACCTTATATTTACACGTCCTGATATTGCTTATGCTGTCAACCAAGTGTGTCAGTTCATGCACTCTCCAACTACTGCGCATTGGGCTGCAGTCAAACGCATCTTACGGTATTTGAAAGGCACACATGCTCACGGCTTACTTTACAAACCCAGTCCCCTCACTCTAACTGCCTTCGCTGACGCTGACTACGCTGGCGACCCTGATAACCGTCGTTCCACTGGCGGTCACTGCATATTTCTTGGCAATAATTTAATTTCATGGAGTTCGAAAAAGCAACGTGGAGTGTCACGATCTAGCACAGAGGCGGAGTATCGTCAACTTGCCTATACTTCTGCCCATCTCTCATGGTTTCACAATCTATTCCGTGATTTACATCTTCCCTTACAGCCACCTCGTCTCTGGTGTGACAATATCAGTGCCATTGCTGTTGCTTCCAATCCCGTTTATCAAGCTCGCATGCGCCATGTTGAAGTGGATTATCACTACATCCGGGACAAGGTCATTCGCAAGGAAATAGAAGTTGGTTATGTAGCTACCACAGACCAAATTGCCGATTTTTTAACCAAGGGTTTGTCCTCTGTCCGCTTCCATTATCTTATCTCCAAGCTTCCTGTTAGTCAACGCCCCGTCAGCTTGCGGGGGCGTGATAAACCTAGTTCGGATAAATCTCCAAACCCTAACGACCGGTCCACGTCAGCACCATCAAACCTTCCTGCTGCAATCTGCAACCGAAAGGATTCCACTAGCTGTACAACCTGGACAAAAGGAATGTTGCACATGGATACAACATTCCTTGACATCTAGGTTACCACATGGTTTCTGCACCTGTGTTCTGGTTGCTGCATCATGGGCAGCAAGGACACCACTTGTATTGGATTTGTTTATTGCATGCGTGTATGTAACAGTGTATATAAATATAAACTCTGCTGTCCATTGCAGTAAGTTGTGATAACAAAACAGTTTTGAATACCAAGTTTATTAGAACATGAATATTGGGTTCGTCGGGGACTCACTGAATGAGAATTTTTTGGTGTTGTTTCTATGCATTATGAGAGTGGCTGATGCAGGTGCTAAAAAGTGGAAGAGGATGGAGGATTGGAGATGAGCTTATTTTCCTAACTTCAATTTTATGGTGAGGTATCTTCGGGCAGTGTTGCTCACCAAATATGAGTAAGATTTCATGAGATTGTTTTGTTTTTGCTATTTTGTTTGATTTATGAGCATGCATTGCGCCCTGCATTTATCTTTTAAACTTTCTACGAGTGTGAAATTTGATTGGATTGTGAATTTGTTATTGTAAACCAAATTGATGATTGGTCTAGTCTATGAGAAGAATGCAACTTTTGTGTTAGACTAAGCACTTTTGGACATTCGTTGGCACTGTCATTAAGAGTTTTCGGGAAATAACCGTGAGCTACTTAATTTTGTATGTGGAACGCATGCTAATGAAGCCATTGGAACTTTGATTTATTCTTGCTTAAAAGTTTTGGTATTTCCCTAAACTGGAATTTAATATGGAATATTGTTAATTGTCTCTTTTTTCTAAGTTTCATTTTCATGCAAGCGAGTTATGAAAATGGAAACCTCACATGCTCATAGTTGATTAAATCAAGATGGCAGCCAAAACAAGACACGCGTGGGGATCAAGATGGATTGAAAGGAACATATCGAGTAGATGTTGATATTCCAACCAATGATTGGGCCAACATTTCTGATTTTTATGATGTCCTAGTTTTCAATATAGGGCACTGGTATTACTTTTCTCTTTCTGCTAATTCACCAAAGTTGTTGATAAACGAATTGATTGATTTATTTCTATCTTTTTTAAAGTTGTGGCATGTCTAAAGAGTGTTGACAATAAGGGTCTCAAGATTTTATTTCCCTAACGTCATGTTTTGTATGGTCCTCTTTAGTAGTCTATTTCGTTGATGAAATGGCCCGTTCGGTCCTTAATCATCAATGTGATTTTATTGATTAATCAATGCCAGGAAAAGTTTGTGAACATGGAGATAAATTAATTTCTTTTTTAACACACACACACTCGGACAGAAAGAGAGGTTACAGTCTGGTTTTTGAAAGTAAAAAAAATAATTAAAAGTAATTGAAAAACTTTTCAGAAGCAAATTATAAAGCTTTTCCTCTATCGCCCTAAAAGGACATCATATGGATTAAAATGGTCGATCACCCTAAATTTACGATTCATCTGATATTGAACACACTAGCGTTACAATCAAATCTGTTGTTGAGTTTGTTACTTTGGTATGGCACCTCATTAGTTTATTACATGTCTGGCCTCTGTTATCAGTTCATATTCTGTAGAAACCAGTTGCTAAAGAATTTGTGCTTAACTAGGTGGAATTCTAATAAATTTCCAAAAGAAAGTCCTCTCATCTTTTTATCGTGCGGGCGAACCAATACTACCGCCCCTTGATATGTCAGATAAATTTAAAGTTGTTCTTGAGAATATGGTATCATACATACAAAAGGATGCCGTTTAGAGCAGATGCCCATCCAGCAATTTGGTTGGGACAAAAGGATGTCGTTTTAGTCTGGGGCCAGGATTGCATGCATTGGTGCTTACCTGGTGTACCAGATACATGGGTTGACATATTATCAAAACTGATTCACGTTGGGTTGGAGATAAGATGGTGAACAACACTTGGTACACTTATGACTGGAAATTGCATACAAGGATGACTTTTGTAGAAGTCGAGTTGAGCAGAATCATCACATTCTTTTTGTAACAATCGCGTCGCAAGTTTAATTGGAAATTTGTTGACATCTTTTGATGGAGGAAGGCGGCTGTCTGTTCTCTTTGTTGCGAAGGAGAATGACAGGGCACAAATTCAACTGAAACGTAACAAAATCAGACCACGAAGCAAAAAATTTGTAACAAGTGAGTAGCATTATAATTCATCATTTTTCATTGAAATTATTTACGGAGTTAAAGAAGGTTATTCCGGGATAGATCATGGTTTTCTCGATCCTCTAGGTTAAAACAGAATTGTGAAGCATTCAGGATGGGGTTTATGCATGTAATTCAAACTTTGCGTTGCTTAAAATGCTTGTTTTTAAACAGTAGTTTTTACACCCAATTGTACAGGTATTCAAACTTTTGATCCTTTTCAGTTTGTGAGGAGATGTGAGAGAGAGAGTTGGTGTCATACAAGTCCAATGAATTTAACAAGGCTAGGGCTAGGGCCACAAATAATATTAGCATGCGGGCTTTGGCCCAAAACTCAGTGTTTTCTGCTTCCGAGTTCTCAACCTTAAAAACATCAAACAACCTAAATTCCTCTGAAAATGGCGTTGAGAATCCATCTTCTTTCCCTAAAACGCCCCCACCAACCTCCAAACTTCCACACCAACAATGGACGCCTATCTCTGGATTCGTTCCACCTTGGCTTGAATCTTTTCTTCCAACAACGATGTATCAGCTACAATGGATTCCATCAAGCTTTATAATCAATCATGCCCTACTTTCTTGCTTCTAACCACATTTTCTCTCTTGATACTTGGAATTCAGTGGAAGAGAACTAAAGTGAAGGGTTAAATTGCAACATTTGTTTCTACTGTTTCAACATCTCCACCAGAGGTAATTGACACTGTGATGTTGAAGACACACTTTTCAACCTCAGAAGCCCTGATCCTCTCAACATACGCTCTAAACTTCAACATTTGTTAGCTAACAACACACCTTCAACATTTGTTGGCTGACAAGAAGCAATGGACGGTGCTTATTTCTTCATGTGGGTCGTCCACTTTTATAACATATTTTTAATTATTACGAGTATAAAAAGCAGTGTAAAAGCGTTTGGTGAATTTTAATATAAAAGTTATATAATTGTATATGATGAAAAAAAAATGGCATGGTAATGGGGCAGTGACAATGACAACGGTGGCAGGAACAATGGTGACGATTATGGTGGTGGCGGTGGTAATGGTAGTGGTAGTGGTGGGGTATGGTTGTGTGCCAATAGAGGAGTGTGGTGGTTGGGGGTGTAGTGGTAAGAATGGTGGTAAGGGTAGTGACAACAATGGTGGTGTACTGGTGTTTGTTGTTGTGGTGGCCGTGGTGGCGATTGTTGTATGTATAAAGAAGGATAATATAGGGTTTTTAGAGTGTAAGAACTTTGAACTCGAAAGAAGTGAACTTTGGAAAGAGAACTTGCTTGACGTTGTTGACTGAAAACACCTTTTTTTCTTCTTTTTGGATATACCATATATGGGCTTATAAAAATAATTTAGTACCCCAATCAAATTTGGGCCTTGGACAAGTGCCCTATTGGTATTGGGTCAGGGCTAGCCTTATTTACTGAAGTAACGGAAATCAATCATGCCTATGTATCATGGTATGGGACTGGTTTCCCTCCCACATAACAATTAACAATTTAATCCACTAACGTTGTGATTTGACAATTGATGATTGATTTTTTTTTTGTTGAACAAACAACATTATCTACATTAAGGGGGAGATGGTGGGCTTAGCCTCACAATGAGCTAGCAATAACGTGGTTCAAATTCACGTTTGGCGAGAATTGAACCTAAGACCTCTCACTTACCAATGTATTAAGTGGCAATGATTGAATTTCTTGTTTTTCGGTCAAACATTATAAAATTTATTAATAAAGACGGCTAGCACAAGAGAAGGATAGCCCAAAAGAAAGGTAGCCCAAAACAAACAAGTAAAAGCACAATCCAACATAATAGAAAATACAATAAATTGAAAAAGAAAAAAGAAAGACCACAGGCTCAAAAAAGGGAAAACTCCAATTGAAACCCTAGATTTGAAAAAAGAAATATGCCGCATCCTCTAAGCTAATTGCAGCACCTTCACAATGCCAACACCATCAAGGTGATGAACCAAGGAACCAAACATATGAACGGAAAATAGAGGTGGCCAAGCCACCCGCGTAGTCAGCACTCCCATAATCTTACCAGATAGTGCAAAAAGCACTTTAAAAGCCACCGAACGCCAGAGCATTCTTCTGAAGGAGAAACTTGGAAGAGCCATCCGATGGAATGACTAACCAAGGTTGATGATAGAGGATTCGTGAAGAGGAACAACAACTGGGGAGGAAAGATGCATAATAAGTTGAGATAAACTCAGAGAAAAATTGAGACAATAGCTCAAAAGAAAATGAGACATAAGCTCAGAGCACAGCACCAAAGGATAACAGATGTTACTGGAGACAAGGGAAAGAAAGAAAACCAAAAAGAAAGCATAAAAAGAAAAAAAAAGAAAAAGGAAGGTATAGACCAAGACGGAGGGAAAGAAGGGGTTTGAGGGAGGGCTTAGTGGGCTAGATGGGAGAAAGAAAAGGAAGAAGAGATGAGGTTGCTTGCTCACCCTAACCAGGGAGGAAGGAGTCGAGGGCGAGCAATTGGCTTGGGGGGTCTATGCAAGAAAATGAGGGCGACCAAGGTTGGTACTTTGATAGGCTCCACATTGTCTCACGACTCTTCTAAGTTCTTGATTGAATTTATGGTTTAAATCATTAGAGAGGCTATCTGTGCACCACCGACTATATCATTTGCTTTAAAAAATTGTAGTTAAACAAATAATAAAAGGGAGCTTTAAAAAGAGCTTGGGCCAAGTTTATTTTAACTAAAAATCATGCTATAATTTTATTTAATGAAAATGAATTAAATATTAACGAAAAAGCCTTAAATTTTAATACAAAGGACAAAAGAGCTTAAATTTTAATAAAAAATGACATAATTTTAATAATAAAAAAATAAAAAAAATGACCAGACACGCATGCCTCTAGCACAAACAATGTTTATCAAATTGAACACTATTTATGAAACTAAACACTATTTATGAAACTAAAACATTATTTATGAAATTGAAATACTATTTATGAAACTGAACGCTACTTATGAAATTGAACATTACTACACGATTTATTGGTCAAAATGAGACAAAAGCTCAGAGCACATCACCAAAGGATAACAGATGCTACTGGAGACAAGGGAAAGAAAAGGAAGAAGAGATGAGGTTGCTTGCTGACCCTAACCAGGAAGGAAGGAGTTGGGGGCGAGCAGTTGGCTTGGGGGGGTCTGTGCAAGAAAAGGAGAGCGACCAAGGTTGGTTTTGACGTCTAGGTTGGTACTTTGATAGGCTCCACATTGTCTCACGACTCTTCTAAGTTCTTGATTGAATTTATTGTTTAAATCATTAGGGAAGCTATATGAGCACCAAACGACTATATCATTTGCTTTAAAAATTGCAGTTAAGCAAATAATAAAAGGGAGCTTAAATGAAAAGGGCTTGGACTAAGTTTATTTTAAGAAAAAAACCATGCTATAATTTTATTTAATGAAAATGAATTAAATTTTAATGAAAAAGTCTTAAATTTTAATAAAAAGGACAAAAGAGCTTAAATTTTAATAAAAATAGGGCATAATTTTAATAATTAAAAAAATTAAAAAAATGACCAGACACGCGTGCCTCTAGCACAAACACTGTTTATCAAATTGAAAACTATTTATGAAACTAAACGCTACTTATGAAATTGAACAGTACTACACGATTTATTGGTCCAATTTCATAAATAGTGTCTAGTTCTTGGTCATGTTTGATAAATAGTTCCTAGTTATATTGGGTCCAGTTTAATAAGTAGTGTATAGTAATTGGTACAATTTTATAAATAGTGCCTCTTTTTAGTCATGTTTTATAACAAATGCTACTAGAGACAAGGGAAAGAAAGAAAACCAGAAAGAAAGCATTAAAAAAAAACAGAAAGAAGGGATAGACCAAGACGGAGGGAAAGAAGGGGTTTGAAGGAGGGGTTAGTGGGCTATAGGGGAGAAGGAACAGGAATAAGAGAGGAGGTTGCTTGCTGACCCTAACGAGAGAGGAAGGAATCAGCGGCGAGCAATTGGCTTGGGGGGGGGGGCTCTCTGCAAGAAAAGGGGAGAAACTAGGGTTGGTTTTGACGTCTAGGTTGGTACTTTGATAGGCTCCACACTGTCTCACGACTCTTCTAAGTTCTTGATTGAATTTATTGTTTAAATCATTAGAGAAGCTATCTGAGCACCAACGACTATATCATCTGATTTAAAAAATTGCAGTTAGGCAAATAATAAAAGGGAGCTTTAATGAAAAAGGCTTGGACTAAGTTTATTTTAACAAAAAACCATGCTATAATTTTATTTAATGAAAATGAATTAAATATTAATGAAAAAGCCTTAAAATTTAATAAAAATGACAATGGAGATTAAATTTTAATAAAAAAGGACACAATTTTAATAATAAATTTCTTTAAAAAATGACCAAACACGCGTTCCTCTAGCACAAACATTGTTTATCAAATTGAACACTATTTATGAAACTGAACACTATTTATGAAACTGAGCGCTATTTATGAAATTGAACAGTACTACATTGTTTATTGGTCCAATTTCATAAATAGTGCCTAGTTCTTGGTCATGTTTTATAATTAGTGTCTAGTTATATTGCGTCCAGTTTCATAAATAATGTATAGTGATTGGT